TGGGGGTGTAGTGGTACTCATAGTCGTGCATGCCGTAGTCGTTAGACCATTGACCTCGCATCCCTACAAAGCCGAGACGGAGCACGCCGGGTTCTCACCGGACCAGGCTCTCACATCACCAAGCGCGAAGCGCCGTGAAGTATTCGGCGAGTCGCATGAAGGGTGCGCTGCATCCTGCTAAGGGTGTTCGGCATCTTGTACTTACTTCCTTGCGTACGGATGACAGCTGCGTATGACTTAATTTATTTTCTGGTGCTTTCCTTCCAGAGACATTTATAAGCACTGTGTAACTGCCTCGAGGATGCTTGACCATTTTAACACAACGTGGTGCGATCATCCCCCTTGCGCGGAGTGAGGGTTCTCCACCCCGCACAACATGATCTACTCGACCACCATTATGGTTACCGCAAAAACAAAAACAGAGGTAAAAAAAAAAACGTAACCTGGTTGCCGAGTTCACGAAGTGAATTGGCTTGTTTTACAACGTCGTTGCCAAGCGACGAAAACCCAATCCCGATGGCAAACACCGAGGGGCGGCTTGTTTTACAACGTCGTTGCCAAGCGACGAAAACCCAACCCCGATGGCAAACACCGGGGGGGGGGGGGGTCTAGCTCTACGTGGTGCGTTCGTTGGATTAATCTCAACAGCTACCTGCCTTTTCCCGTGTTTTTTTTGTATCAGGCGAGTTCTGGAGTCTCATGGTGGAGGCCGCCCAGAACACGACGGTGAGCTACTCCGTGGTGATCAACCCCAGCAGCGGCCCGGGAGACTCGGCGGAGGAGGCGTACACCACCGGGATCACGGAGCTCCTCAACGTTGGGGTCGAGGTTCGTCTTTTCCACCTCGTTGATTCTTCTTCCCGCGTCTGTGTTGCTGTCAGTAGGTATTTACCACGTCTTTTTTTTTAAGAAATGTGATAATGAGCTTGCTCACGCGAACTCTTTCCGCTGTGTGTGTATTGTACTGTCTTTTCTCGAGGGAGGTATGTTTTTGTGCATATGTTCTTGCTGTGCCGTCAGGCGTGATCTTGTATGTTTTGGCTCTCTGGTGTGGCGGCGGAGGGTGCTTCGGAAAGCCCTTCACATGAAATGACAGCATGTGCTTGTGCGGTATTCAGCAGCACGAAAGAATCGGGCGATAAAAAGAGAGCGTCGTTAGCGCAGCGATATGGATTCCAAGGAATCAAGGAGCAGGAAATGCAAAGACCTTCGGCGGTTGCTGCGCTAAGCTGCGGACCTGCTGGCGTCGGACTCATGCTGAAAATGTATTCGTCACAGACAGCCGGAAGATTCAAGTGTTTTGACACTCGTTTGAGTCTCCTCCACCCTTTACCTCCCCCTTCTCGCACACTCCCCTTCTCGCTTCTCATGTGCATTGTTTCCTGTCCTTTTGGTTGACCACCTGTCCCTACTTTTCTCTCCCTCCCTCTCTCTCTCTCTCTTCTCTCGCGCAGGTGCTGTGCTACGTACCAACCGGCTTCGGGAGCACCGACGTGTCCACGGTGACGGCGGACATAGACAAGTACGAGTCCTTCTACCCGGGCATGTGCGATGGATATTTTTTCGACGAGGGACCGGGCGGCGAGGACAACGCTTGGAAATGTGAGTATATAATAAAATGTACTACAAGTATGAGTAGAACTTTTTATGGTCGCACAACTGTTCGATGATATGTTGCATGTGGCTAGAACAGAGGGCCGTTTTCGTGAGCTACTGCTGCCTGCCGCTCTTTCGAAGAGAACAAGTGCATTGAAAATGTCTTGGGGGGGCAAGTATTGGCGCATCTTAGCTGTTTTGCTTTCAATCTTAGGAAGGTACAACCGAGTTCAGCTTGATGTTAAACTCGGCCGATTTACACCTGTGACCACGGGTCCGAGAGACGAGGCCAATGTGCAGAGCATTGTGCAACACGTTGCCGGTTGTTGGTTCGGGGCCTTGCCCTGTGGGAGAAAGGGTCCCCCGATTCGTAAGGGAAATCAACAAGTACCCTATCCCCCCCCCCCCCCCTCCCTCCTCTCGGCTGGGAACCACCCCTCGTGTAACGTTTACGGGTTTACAGCCACCTCGTGCTGGTGGTAGTCTAGGAGGCCAACAGCGGTTGTCACCAATCACGACAAACGTCGCGCTAGTATTGTTGTCAAACCTTCCTTTTTTCTTTCCCCCTGCTGTTTGTTTTCGTTTATTTTTCTGTGTGCTTCACCGCCCGTTTACATAGACACGGACTACTACAACCACGTACAGGAAGCGGGCGGCGCGGGCTCTACGGTAGTGGTCAACCCGGGAATTCGGCCGCACGACTCCCTCTACTTCATCGGAGATGTATATGCCGGCACCAATCCCGGGCAGGGGGGGCAGGTCGTCATCACCTCGTAAGATGATGGACAGCAGTGTTGTTGACGGTGGCAAACCCCTCGATGGGGGAGGGTTCGGATCGTCTCTGACTAGTTTTGTGTTTGATGCGGTCTTGGAGTTATTGCTCTTCTGTTGCTACTGCCGCCGCTACTGCCGCCGCCACCGCTGATGATGATGATGATGGTGCTGGTTCTGCTCTTGCTACTGCTGCTGCTGCTGCTGCTGCTGCTGCTACTGATGTTGCTCCTAACACTACTGTGTCGTTGTTACCTTTGTTGCTGTTGCTGCCGTCGCCTTCTTTTTTTTTTTTGCTGAGACGCAGGTACGAGAACAGTTTCCCAAAATTTTACGACGGCAGCCAGGACTACCACAACCAGGAGGTCCCCTTCCCCCCCCGCTACGTCACCGACCGTTACAAGCATTCTGTCATGGTCTACGCCGCATACTTCACTACCCTCCAAGAGGTAAACGGCTGCCCCTGCGGTGCAAAGAACCAGGCCAATATTTTTTCCCCATAATTTGCCGTAATGCCCTGCCCGACGACAACAATCATGACGATACTGTCCGTGAGCCGTCACGATTTTCGTCAGCGTCGTTTCGGCACCGTTGTCTGATTCGCTGTACGCTCGGCGCATGTCCCTCGCATTCTCGAAGTAGGCTTGGTTTCGCCTTCCCCACAATGTCGAAGTAGTCTCATGTGTATCGGTGTTGTGCGTCTTGTCCCTCCCGCGAGTAGTCCCCTTGACGCGGAGACTGGACCGTCCATGCTGTACAATCTCCTCCGCGGCAACCCCGTCTAGGGGGGCCCGCGGAATAGAAATCGCGTTGTTCGAGTGAAGCCGTCCGTCCTGTTTTAGTACAAGATCTACATCTCTCCAAAGCGGTGCCATCGATATTCTACTTTCAAGGTTCACGCGCATGCGCAACATGCCCCCCACGCTCCGTCCTCTCGCGGGCGAGTGGTCAATGACCCAACAGCTATGGCATGCGAAACATGAGTACCCCCCCACCCCCCCCCTCCCTCCCCCACGCACAGTTCCTAGATTGGACGGTGCTGCAGCTGTATTGCGCGAACTGGGGCTACGTGTTTTTCACGGATGATTCGTTCGGCGACGATGGAAATCCGTGGGACGAGATGCCGGGCTACTTCATGGAGCTCCTGGAGTCGGTGGCGAAGGCGGAGGAAGGGGCGGAGGGGTGCGGAACGTGGGCCCCTACTGCGGCTCCGACGCCGATACCAACCCTGGCGCCCCTGGTGAATCATGCTATTGGTGGTGGTGGTGTTGTTGTTGTTGTTGATGATGATGATGATGATGATGATGATGATGGATGTTGGTGGTGTTGTTGGTGTTGGTGGTGGTGGTGATGGTGGCAGTGGGCGATCGTTTCATCGTCATCATGCAGTCTTGGCATGTAAATTGCCACCAAGTGCGGATTTTTTCCCTCGCCATTTCTAAAGCTATTCGTCCGGAAGAATCGAAAATTTCATTGGGCCACACAGAGACTTTTACCTTGAAGATACCAAGAATGTTTAAGTTTTTTTTGTTGCTGTCACGAGAGTAGTCAGTCAGAGAACGGCCCTCGCCCCCGGAATTCTGAGTACACCTTTTGGATGTGAGTTTTTTTCCGGCGGATGCGTCAGTCGCGATGGAACACACTAGACTTGAGCACACATGCACGTTGCTTTCATGTCTAGGATCCTCTCATTTGTTTTTGTTTAGTGAGAGGACGGTGTCTGTGACTGCTGTAGCCGTTCGTGGGGCATACTGCAGAACCTCGGTGGAAAAACACTCCTGCGTGTTGTCGTTGATGGTGGTAGCGCGGGTTTCTCGCTGGTGCTTCCTTCCTACGCGGAAGTTTCGTCTCCATCCCTCCTTGCCGCAAACGCGAGACCGTTGACCAGTTTTTGGCTCACCCTCGTAAAACATAGCCGGGGCCAGCAAATACCCGGCAAATCGCCCCTCCGTCCCGGCATTTGCAGGGATGCCAGGCCAACGGTGGTCACTAATGATACGGCATGCGTTTACAAGACTACACCCCCCCCCCCCCCCCCCATACAAGGCCCCAGGAAAAAAACCCGCGCCCGTTCCAACCCCCGCCCCCAAGGGATACTTCCCCCTGCACCCCGCTGCTATCGGCGGGAAAAAAACGCCCAAAATGGTCTCGCCTACCCCGGGGCCCACGCCCAGCCCGAACACGCCCGCGCCCACCATGGGTCCCAAGCCGGGGCCGAACATGTCTCCCAAGGGGGCGCCTAAGGGTGGCCCGAAGGGCGCGCCCAACCAGGGGCCCGCGCCGGAAGCGGGATCGGGGGCTGTCAAAAGTGGGGGGGGGGGGCCAAAATTTTTTTTTTGTTCCCGCCGCCATTGGTGGGTTGTTGGGGGGGGGGGTAAGGGG